GTGGGGGGGTGGGCGAGGGGGGGAGGGGGGCGACGGCAAACGGGGGGGGGGGGGGGGGAACGGGACCAGGACACAGACACCGGGGAACAGGACAGGGACATGGAGGACTGGGCCAGGGACACAGGAGACCAGGACCAGGACAGGAGTGTGGAGGGATGGGGACCAGGACGTGGGGGGACATGGACCAGGATGCAGGGGGACCAGGACCATGTCAGGTGCACTGGGACCGGGACGTGGAGGCCCAGGACACAGACATGGAGGCCCAGGGCATGGACATGGAGAACTGGAACTGGAACATGAGGGGACAGGGATGTGGGGGCACTGGGACCAGGACAGGAGCATGCAGGAACTGGGGCAGGGACATGGGGGACCAAGACAGGGACACGGACACAGGAACAGGGAACGGACATGGGGGTACTGGGATGGAGACACAGACTTGAGGGAACTGGGACAGGGACATGGGAGGACAGGGACAGCAACAGGGGCACTGGGACCAGGACAGGAGGATACCAGGATCTGGCTGGTGACATGAGGCACTGGAACCAGGATAGGGCCAGGAGCACTGAGACCAGGTCAGGGACATAGGGTGAACTGTGCCAGGACAGCAACAGGAAGGGACTGAGACCAGGAGAGGGACAGGGGTACCAGGGCTGAGACAGCAGCATGAGGGGACCAGAATCAGGGCAGGGACATGGGGGGACATGGACCAGGGCAGGGACAAAGGACAGCGGCACTGGGATCGGGACAGGAGGATACTGGGATCAGGCCAGGGATATGGACGACTGGGATTAGGACAGGGACAAGGGGACGGGGGGGACCAGGACCAGGACAGGGATAAGAGGGGGCTGGGAACAGGACAGGGACATGTGAGGACCAGGATAGGGACATGAGGGTACCAGGACCACACAGGGACATGGGGGGACCACATTTAGGACAGGGATATGGGAGTACTGGGACCAGGAGAGGGACAGGGGTACCAGGGCTGAGACAGCAGCATGAGGGGACCAGAATCAGGGCAGGGACATGGGGGGACATGGACCAGGGCAGGGACAAAGGACAGCGGCACTGGGATCGGGACAGGAGGATACTGGGATCAGGCCAGGGATATGGGCGACTGGGATTAGGACAGGGACAAGGGGACGGGGGGGACCAGGACCAGGACAGGGATAAGAGGGGGCTGGGAACAGGACAGGGACATGTGAGGACCAGGATAGGGACATGAGGGTACCAGGACCACGCAGGGACATGGGGGGACCACATTTAGGACAGGGATATGGGAGTACTGGGACCAGGAGAGGGACAAGGGACAAGGGACATGGGATGGGGCTGGACCACGGATGAGGGACACGGGGCTATAGGCATATGTATGTATAGATGGGACCATGACCAGGTGCGGGAGAGGGAACATGGGAGTACAGGGATGGGGACAAGGGAGACAGGGACAGAGGAAGCACAGGTAGAAGGGGGTCGGGTCATTCGGTCCATGGGGTGCTGGGAAGACGGGGGGTCCCGCCAGCTGCCCCGCGCTCTCCGTCCATCCCGCAGGTGTCAAGGAGGAGCCGGTGAAGGAGGAGCCGGTGGAGGTGAAGACTGAGCCCTTCCACAGCCCGGCTGCCAACAGCATTCCCAGCCGCGGTGCTGACCGCCGGCTACCCCGCACCGGTATCCGCCCACCTGGCGAGCTGTGCGAAGGCTGGAACCGGAGCCCCCCACGCCCCGCGCCCCCCGAACTCTCCCTCGGCGAGCTGGGCGGGCAGCAGGAGCCATTGGGCTCCGATTTCCCGAGCATCCTCTTCGAGCAAGAGGCCGAGCATCTCAATAACTGCGGCGCAGGTGAACCAGGCCCCCCTGGGACGACGGGGCTGTCGGACGGGGCACCCGACTGTACCCAGCTCACCCCGGCCGAAAAACGCATCGTCCAGTCTAACGAACGGCTGGTGCAGGAGATGCGAGCTTTCCGACGGGAATACGCCGAGAGCCGCCGGGAGACCACCTCCGTCCTGCGCGTCATTGCCCAGGCACTGGGCGGCCTCAGCCGGAGCCTGGCCGAAATCCGTGACCTCTACCTCCGGGAGCAGGCGGTCCCCAAACCCTGAGCCCCCACGCAGCTGGCTGTGTGCGCCCGTGGCTGGCGGGGACCGCCCTGGGGACAACTTTCCACCCCCCTACCCCCAACGCCCGCCTTGCTTCTTTTTTTTTTTTTTTTTTTTTTTTTTTCCCTCCATCCCACTTAAATAAAACTCAGAGCTGCCCCTGGCTCTCCCCTTCCTGGGCTCTTTGCAGGATTTTGAGGGGTGATGGCATGCTGGGAGCCGCAGTCCCCTTGGGACATGGGGCAGTGGTTTGCCTCCAGCGGGGGGGGTCTGCGTGGCTTTTCCCCCACGAGGAGCAATGGACTCAGCGGTCCCAAATGTAGCCGGTGGCTGAACCTCCCCCCTTCCCGGCAATGGTGCAGGGGCGGGGGTGAATCACACAGAGAGCAGCCGTCCAAAATAGCCGGGGTGAATCACGCTCCCCCAGTGCAGCCTCACCACTGGCTGCAAAGGGAGATGAGTCCTGGCTCCAGCAATTCGGGACTGGGGTGGGGGGTGGATGGAGGAATTGGCCTTCTGCCCACAGCCCCCATCCCAGGGTGGAATTTGCTGCTTTCTGACCCAAAATGCTGCTGGGGGTGGTTTCACACCCCAGTTTTGAGCAGTGGGGCTGGGCGGGCAGCAGCACGCCTGTGCTGGCTCATGCTGGCGGCTGGTTTGGTGAGAATTATCCATCCCAACCCAATTTTTGGATGGAGAAGCCCTGGCAGCGGAAGGGGAAGGGGCGAAAGCCACAGCTCCCCCTTACAGCTCCCTGGGGAGGGGCACAGGGCTCTGCACTCTCCCCAACACCCCCCCACCCCTGGCACAGAGCCACCAAGACAACACCAGGCTGTGGGGTACAAGACGTGGTTTAATGCTGACCCCGGCACGGAAGAGCAGGGGCCAAATCCAGACACGGGCGTGCAGGGGTGCGGTGATGCACGGCCCTCGGGGGACCCCCGGGCATCCCCCCCATGGGTGCACAGGGCCGTTGGCACCCAGAGCCAGGCTGGAGGCACCCACAAAGGGCCCAGTGTGTGGGACAAGAGCCGCCCTGTGCTGCCAGCACGGGGTCATCCGCGGGATGGCCGGGAAGGGCCTGATCCTGCCACAGCCGTGGCACCCTCCCAGCCCCAGGGTGGGGGGACAAGGGTCCCCAGCCTGGCCCCACTGGCCAGCGGCGGGAGGAGGGTGCCAGGGTCCCTGTGGGTGCTCAGGCTCCGGGGTAGCTGGGCTGTACTGCGACATAGGGCGGAGGTGCTGTGGGGGGAGCAGACAGGGTGTCAGCCCCTGCAAAGCCACCGTGCCCCCCAGGGGAATAGGGGGGTGTCGTGTGTGTCCCCCCAGTGCTCACCTGTGGGGTTGTAGACGGGCGGGCCGGAGGGGTACAGCGGGTACTGGGCAGCAGGGCCAGACGGCGGGTACACGGCCATGGGGGTGAAGCCAGGCTGGGGGGCCACGGGGCCGGCTTTGGGGTCCATGGGGAAGGGGGCTGGGGGGGCTGCGGGGGGGTAGCTGGACAGCGGGATCTCCGCGCCTGCAGGAGAGACAGGGTGGGGGCTATGGCACCCTGGTACAGGGACAGGGATGGGGACAGAGCCCGGCTGTGCCCACAGGTGTCCATGGCCCTCAGGAGGGGGCAGGGGATGGCGGTGGGCACCAGGGTGATCTCAGCAGCACCCACTCCAGTGCCCGCCCCCAGCACCCATATCTCCACACACACACCCCCAAGTGCCCCCCCCTGCACACCGATCCCCCCCTGCATCCCTCCAGGCCCCCACCCTGCACCCCAAATCCCCCCCCGACCTTGCAAGGGGGTGCGGAGGTGCTGCCGGCGCTGGTACAAGTAGCAGCAAGAGCACATGAAGCAGCAGACGATGGTGGTGACGATGGCGATGAAGAGCACCACAGCCGAGGCGATGCCCGCGATGGTCTTGGGGCTACAGGACACCGCAGGGACGTGGGGGAGTGCAGCCTGGGAGGGGGCACCCGGGGAAGTCCCCCCTCCCCGCAGGGTACCTCCCCCCCACCCAGTCACACCAGTGCCCGCAGCACCAAGGGGCACCCTTGGAGCACCCACCTGGGGACCAGAGGGACAGGGATGTCCAGACAAGCACCCAGTGCCCAGCACCCAGTACCAATGACCGGTACCACTGCCCAGCATCCAGTACCACTGCCCAGCACCCACTGCCCAGCACCCAGTACCAGTGCCCAGGCCCAGCACCAACACCCAGTAGCAGTGCCCAGCACCCACTGCCCAGCACTCAGTACCAACACCCAGTAGCAGTGCCCAGCACCCACTGCCCAGCACCCAGTACGAGGGCCTAGCACCCAGCCCCAACACCCAATACCAGGGCCCAGCACCCAGTACCACTGTCCAGTGCCCAGGACCAGTACACAGCACCCAGCATCCAGCACCCTGTATCCAGTACCCAACGCTCAGCACCCAGCATCCAGTCCCCAGGGCCCAGTAGCCCAAGGCAAGCACCCGGCACTCATCGCTGCAGCTCAGCACCCATCCCCAGCACCCGGCACCTGAAGGCGAGGCAGTGACGCTGCTGGCGCTCAGTGAGCAGGCGCATGGGGTCACGGCAGCAGTACCGCTGGTGGCACGTGCCGCAGCAGAAGGTGAAGAAGTCGCAGTCGAAGCCGGGGTGCCAGGAGCCGTTCCTGTCCACGTACCACAGGCAGTCCTCGCCGCCCGCCACTGGGGACAACTGTCCGTCACCGGGGCCTCGGGGAACCGCCAGCCCGGCCACCGCCACCCCCAATGGTGCTGGCATCAGCCCACATCCTCCATCCCCCAAATGCTGTCTCAGGGGAACAGTCCACACCCCACTGTACCCTGCTCTGTGCCCTGTTGTGTCCCCCCGTAGCCCACTGCATCCTGGCCCCATGTCGCCCCCCTGTACCCTGGTCCACCCTGTCCCCCATCCCCTGCTCTATGCTGTCTCCCTGTCCCCTGTACCCCACTCCATCCTGCCTCATGTCCCCCACCCCCCACTGCATCCTGCCCCATGGATCCCCATACCCCACTCCATCCTGCCCCTGTGCCCCTCATACCCTGCCCCATGGAACCCCATACCCCACTGCATCCTGCCCCTATGTCCCCCCCTATACCCTGCTCCATCCTGCCCCATCTGCCCCCAAATTCTGGTCCATCCTGCCCCACACTCCCCTGGATCCTGGTCCATCCTGCCCCATGTCCCATGTCCCCCCCTGACCCCACTCCATCCTGCCCCACATCCCTGAGAACCTCACTCCTTCACACCCAGCTCCCAGCCCCCCCAGGCCCCCTCCCT